ACATTCAATCAGTTCTCAAAAGCTCATCTCAAGACTAGTTGCTCCCCTGTCTAACACTCTGGACTCAAGTGAATATGTGAAAAAGCAATTTTGGTTTTCGAAATGCGTTGCAAACTCAATTTTTTTAATACGAAAATATTCTTTATAAATCGAAAGTAGATACCACCGACACGGTTCGCTACGGTGCGTGATTGAGTCCGAAATAGATCGTAGGTATTGGGCGTGAGAATATATTCCTCGAAGACATGCTAAAAATTAATTCAGAACTATGAAGTGAGGCAATTCTTTTCATGCTCTAAGTGACTGCTTCCTATTCATCAATCACAACTCCAATTTCACAAACAGCCTCGTCTAAAACGTCAGGATTGAAAATATCCGCACCCTTACAGCATTCTCTAAATAATGCACCTTACACATCATGTGGAGCAACAAAAAAGTTTTTACAGTTATCTGCAAAGCAAGCACAAATGACGGATTTAATGACAACGTCTCCATCGGCATGAGCCCATGTCTTGAGGATCCACGAAATCTTTGACTTTGACGACGGTGGCCTGAAATTACCATATTTGGTGTATGCCTCCTGGGCAACGGTTCTTTTTAGCACACGCCCGCCATATTCTTCAATCCACATGATATTTTCGTGCGTCCGCCACATCAGAATGGCGTCAAGCCGTTCCGTCATACCTGTCAGTGATAGCAGGGTGTAACTAGGGTCACACGTACCCTTGTATGAAAGAGCGGGTCACATAAGTTGGTGTAATCACACAACAGTATGGCTACAACGTAACAAGAAGCCACTACGTGGCAGGACTTCCAGTAGTAATGCAGAATAATAAGGTTTTCTAATTACTAATTTGATAAGGAAAGCCTAAGGTTAAATATATTAGCAGCTCTGCAGCAAAAGCAATTGAATACAGTTTTCAATGTTGAACAGAAGAGCGTCTCTACCTTGGCTAAGGTTTTAAGCACTCGTGGAGGTAGCGGATTACGATCATACTGGATCTTGCAAAGAACGCAAGGTCGATGACCTTAGCTTAGCTTCCTCTAAGCAAAAAGTTACGACAGCCCCGCTACACAGTGTACCACAGCAAGTAATTTAGGGAGTCATCAGATTTTCAAACGTGTGTATGACTTAGTTGAAGTATAAATAATTATCATAAAATTCTAATCAAACTTTTAATCAAGGAGTTTATCGAAAGAGCAAAGGTAATGATTTCCTTGGTAACGAGCTTAATGACGATCGACAAGTGCTTAGCGTCTTCGATATTCTTACACGCACGTATGCAGGTGACTGACATAACAATCTCCGCTCTCCAATTAGACTTGTGTCGAATTTCCAGTTGAAGACGAAACTCAACATCTGTACAAACCATAAGAGCGCAACAATCCCAAAAATATTTCGCAGGCTATTTACTTGGGGTGGGTGTAAAGCCGGTCACGCAAACGTGTCGCAACAATAAGTCCGTGGTGTTTGTATATTATGTGACTTCATTTATAGCTTACCAAACTCACGGTGTTCTGTGTCAGCAGAAATAGTCAGTTGAGACTCCATCGATGACAAGCGGCTTCAATTTGACCTGTCAAAGAAACTTCTGTACTATGTAGACTTATTCGGTTAAGCCTTCGTATTATGTCGTTAGCGAGGCGAGCCGTTAAACACCGCTGTGTGATGTCATTTCCATCCATTAGCATTTGTAGTATTACTGTTGAAGCATAGGTTTTATTAACGCTTGCGCTGTAACTATTCAAACGTGAGGTGGAAGTTGGTCCTAAAGAACAACTTTCATTTGGCTGTGTCGCGTGAGCTATGCAGAGCATCCCAAAGCTAAAGACTGCTTCAACAGTAATCAGGTAGATACTCCAGTAGCCTCATTTTATGTAAAAATAAAAAGCAAAAGCATCCTCTTAATATAAGTAACGCTGTTGATAAGAGATCCGATGCTGTAACCTCCAGCGGGGTACGTTTGATGTAGCAACTGGTGCTGCAATACCATAAAGTAGACACTAGAAGGTTTTCGATGCGGTGATCTAAAGTCCATCCTCACTAACACTTGAATACATCTGCTCATTGTCAAATCTGCCGGGGCAAGCTGATAATGCACTTGTGTCAACATGTGAGCAAAATTATAATATAGATCTGCTTCAGAATTGGCATACTTGTCGCAGAAATACACTCGCCGTGTACCATAGTTCAGATAAGACGAAATTTAAAGTATGGCAACCTTACCGTGCGTTTGAGCACTGTATACTTATAAAGCACACCGAGCTTGTTTCGCATTTATTGTCTCGCCGTCTTTTTGTCCCAAAATAAGAGTAGCTCCTTTAAAAGTCACCCTGAAGCCATACTGTGCCCCCGGTGTCAACATTTTGACATCGAATCGCCTTCGTCATACTGCGAGTCTATGAGCTGATACATGGTGGGATAACGCCATGCATTTTTTAACGTCAAGCCGTAAGCCAGAAGTATCGGCAGACTTTTTGACAGGACCAAGAAAACATCACCACTGTTATTTTTGGACAACATTCCGGTAAAGCCGTCAGCAAACGCTAGCAGTAGATAGAATGTATCCTTATCGTCAACAGGTTTGCCTTCTGAAATACATTAGCGCAATAATGTTTGTCACTGGTCAACGAAAAAACAAATGACTAGGGTGTAGCGAAACCACTTATCTACTTGTCTAACACCTGCACCCACACTTACGTCGACGAAATGTCACTCGACTTTGTCATAATCACACAGAGAGTTACGGAATCATGTCTGAGACGAAGTGTTGATTTTGCATTTTGACGTGCGGGTGCCACAGCCAGCATCTTTCCGAATTAAATTAGTAAACTAAGGAGAACGTAGCCGACTGTCGGGCTACCATCCAGTACCAAGCGCAATCTCGCATTAAAGAATGTGGCACCAGCGCCATGCAAAAAGCATTCGGAAGACTTAAGTAGCTTGCTCGCGTGGTCGACAAATCTTATTACTAAATTTACCTTTCTGTGCTGGTTGTAATGCACTTGTGACTTCTCAGCATTTCGGTGACTGAACTGGAAACTATCCTGAACTTGGTAGCTACAGGGGCATAATGGTCGAGACATGGAATTTGCTGTCAGGTTCTTAAAGGCAAACAACCTTGACATTTCTGTAAATACAATAAGTCTCACTATAACCGATAGATATAGCTCACCCACTCTGTGTTTTCACGATGCTTAAGTGGGGTCGAAGGTCTTCACTGAAGCTAATACATTCAGTTTGGTGCGACATTCTGCATCGATACATCTTTCGGTCTTCTGCTAAGTGACTGACCTAATAATCCTTCTTACTGGACGCCTGACCATTATAAATCTTTTGGCTTCGAGCAAACATATCGAGGCAAGCAGCCCTGCCGGTACTAGTGCTGCTAAATCCGACGTTTGTCAAAATAACGTCGTCAATAGCTGCGATAAATCACAAGTTGCACGAATGCGATAGACCATATATCGCAATGCGTCGCTTGCGTCGGCTCTGGCGTTAAGTAAACCATAGCAAAGGCTGCTTGACATGATGTCGTCACGTGCGTTACGTATTCATATCCAGGTATGGGCGACGTGTTGAGTTTATCAGAAAAGATACATGATCTTCATGATTTCCTCGGTTTCGAATGAATACAAAAAGGCAAGCTTTTCGTGGTTCTCTGGTGCTGCGACGGGTGGAGTGGAAAATCCACTGCAATGATGAAGCATCAAATACAAGATTGCAAAAGAAAAGGTACTACGTCGAATCGTGATTGACAGGGCGCACAATGTTCAGCATGCAGTGCGGACGATAGCGAATCCTGAACCTTAGAGACAGCTTTTTGACAGGATGCAGATACATGGGTTGGGTATTAATGAATAGTACGAGCAACATGTCTTAAACCATACGAGAAGGTCGAATCTTCTTGATCTCATCGGCTTGGAACGAATGCATCAAAACAAGCTCTCCGCGGTATACAGATGCTGCTAAAGCTGGAGGCAGCCAATTAGAACGATGTCAACTGTCAACAGCTAGAATAAGTTTAAAACACAACTATGCGAAAGAAGAGATACTACATCATGTCGCAAACGACGAAGCGCATCAGGTTTGATCGCAGTATACAAGATTGTGTATCGTCAGCTTTAGCGACAGCCCTTTGACATGATTAAGATACATGTTTGTGTGTTCATGTCTTAGTACGAGCAACATGTCTCAAACAATTCGAAGAGGCCAGATCTCCTTGAATCCATCGGCTTCAAACGATTACATAAAGACAAGCACTCCGAGGCAGAATGATGCCGCGGTAGTCTTGAATCCTTTGGCTTCAAAGCGAAAACAATAAAAAGTACTTTGCATAACACTGATGCTGCGATAGCCCGAGCTATACTACGGAAAGTTTACGACAGCAACGCTAAATATCAAGATCAAAAATGCAAATTATGTGGTACTACATTGTGTCACAAATGACGAGACGCATCGAATTTAGAAAACAGTATTTACGAAAGCGTATCGTAAGCCTTTTGAAACGGCAGGCTATTCAAAGGCGTCACGCACGGCGAGGGTTTGACCCCTTGGTCCTCCTGCAGGTGCGCACATATATCCTTACGTACTTATGTATGTTGGGCCACAAATACATGGCGCCAGCCATGCCGTCGAGATTGCTACGCAAATGGGTATCATGTGCCTCGTACAGTACTCGACGCCACCATTGTGACATGCGGCTATACATAGTCGGATGACGCGAAAGCGCAATCACATATACATAAACTCAAATGTATACAAAATATAGATATAACATTTTACTATGAGAAACGTGGTGACGACATTGTTGCGTGCCTTTGAAGCATGATCTATATATATCACGAACGACCTAGCGCCATCATGCTCATCTTACCTTGACAAGGGCATACTTTATCGCAAAGATCTTCTTATCGTGAACGTAGTGTTCCGGGTCGCTTTGAGCTGGCAAGACACAAACTCGATCACGCCGTGTGGAACAAAGCACAGCATGTAGCAAAGGCTTAAAAACCACCAGACCAAGTCACTTTCTTGAGCCCTTGTGGGGCAGAAGGACTGGCCAATATATAATTTTTATTTTTACGGGATCTGCCCACAGATCAATCTTTTCAATGAAGCAACCTCGATGATAATCTCGGCGCCAAAGATACCCTTAATCGTAACGCCAAGGGCTTGTTAAAGCGCATACACTCGATCATTGCTCGCAAGAGGAAAATGCGATTCTCATCATCCGACTTTTCGCGTTCTGTACGACTATGGAAAAATACACTTCTAAAATTGATCTGGCATGGACCCGATTAGCTCCGTTCCTTGACAATTGGGCGTCGCTGATACGTGAGATAGCGCTTTGGGAATACTCAGCCACTAGCATTTAGAATACTTTTCGTGATGTGAGGATATCACTGTCTCTCACGAAGAGCTAATGATACTCATTAACCAGGTCAAGGATACAAAAGAATGCGAAGCTGATCGTAAAGTTCCACAGCACATCCCTTTGAGGAGTCAGTGCTTACGACGAAAACGTTGTTCCAAATAGCTATTATAAGCATGCACGATTTACCATTTGTCATTAGCTTTCTGAAACAGATAGCCGAAAATGTGCTCTCCCTCATTAATTTGGATTTCGGCCGGTTCGGAAAGAAGTGTCAATGACGCCACAGAGTTACCTCAGCAAGAGTCATGTACATGTGACGCAAAGCTTGAAGTATAAAGAACCAAGTCAACATCGTGATGTGCTCCACAATCAGGAGAAAACATGCTTGGCGGAATTTTGTCCGATGTAGTAAATTTTTTCAAGTAAGGCTACGAAGGGCTCTTGAAGTTCGATATCCCACCCCCATACTTAGTACTGTATATGCAGTGGGGCTGCCGTAGCTTTGCGCTTATTTAGGTCATCGACCTTACTGTCTTCACAAGAGCAAGAACGAGTGTAGCGAATCGCAATCCGCTACCTCCAAGAGCAGTTAGAACTTATCTCAAGGCTAATAAACCCTTCCGTTTAAAATGTAACCTGTGTTTATCTGTTTTATCTGCGGCAAAGGCGCCTAGTTTTAAATGTATAGATTTTCCAAAATGTATATAGTAAAATCTAAATACATGCATAACTACTGGCTACCCGGCCACGTACCGTATACTTATTTGGGTGCAGTTACGCCATACCTATCTCGTGTGACACACACCACTGTTACCAGAGTATGTGTAACCCCGTTACACCCCCCCCCATTAAGATTGAGAACATTTTCATTTCCAATCGATTATTGCCTCAACGAGGCTTGCGTGTCCGCTCGACACTGCAACTTGGTTCGTTGGAACAAAAACGACTTCCGTGTTATATAAGCCCTGTGCCAACGACACTGAAGTCACCGAGTCTCGCTGGTTCTGACAACACACACGGGCAGAGACCAACTTCGTCTCCTGCACACGGTGCAATGTCGGACAGTGTGTCCGCGGCATCGAAAGATGTGAATACTATGCTCGATTAGCCCGAACGTCGCGCTCCGCGCACGCTATCAGTAACGAGTAACCTCGTTGAGGATGTGGAGGTAGTTGACTACGAGTCTAACGCTCCTTTTCCCGGGTGAGGTGACGAGGATGGCGAGCCGCGCCAGCGGCGTAAGACGAGCCCCGCTCGCAACGTGCGGACCTCATGTCCGTTTTCTGATTTCTCGTCACCTGAGGGACGTGGTGTAATCACGAATGACCTCGACGGGGCACAGAGGCAGCAGCCCGGAAGGCGGTTCTGATGCGCGCTCATCCACGGCCGGTCATTGACCCGTGTGTGGAATATGG